AGATGAAACAAATAACACTGTTTTTTTCTTCTCTTTCTTATTCTTCTTCTTTTTTACTATTTTTCTTTTCTTGTGTACTCATAATTTTCATTAAGACATTCCGCACTAACAAGCTTCACTTTTAGGATCCCATAGTTGCGAGAGTAGACAATGCGACCGGTCGTTTTCTTCTATTTCTCTTGTTTGTTCTACGCGTTGCAACTACAACACTTGCCTCATATTTTTACTCCAAATGCTTAATGCATGTTTGTTTTCAATCAGCTTATTCAAAACTGGAACAGTTAACTTAATACCTAATGAATAATACATGTTATGAATTCCAATGAGTCATAATTATCAAAATAATCGATATTTACTGAAGTAAAAACACTTTTTCTTTGCATATTGTAAAATTAAATCACATAGTTTAGTAAGACTTTTTAGAAATGATCACCTTTTTTTAGTAATAATAGTAAATAATATGAAATACTTAATTTTTTTTTAGGATTAATTAAGGCTTATTGATAATTCACGTTATTTGAAATAATACGTTTAGAGTTCACGTTAACGTACATCCTTCTAATATACGTTCAATTATACGTACATAATTATGTCCTACTGACCGAAACACATTTTCAATACTATGATCATTTTATTCCTAAACCTATACACAAATATTTGTCTGATATGAAGTACTGTGTAAAAGTAATCGAATAAATATTTTCATTTGAAAATATTACAGTTTTTTCATTGTGAAACGTTTTTACATCGGATGTGTACTTATTATTCGAGAACGGTCATAAAACAAAAACTGAATAATTTGTCTTTTGTTTTAGTGATTCTTTCCTCTGCTCCTAATTAAATCCACCAAAGCACATCGTTAATGAAACAATAGAAAAACGTTTCTCTGCGACTGATTACCATAAACTTCCTAGGCGAGCGAAAAAAAATTATATAATACAAGACAAAGGAAACATTTTTTCGGTTGTTAATTGTTATCAAATTGTACTTTGCACGAAATTTGAATAAATTTATTGCCAAATTTTACTCTTCTGATTTGCATGCCATTTTTTTTCTGTATATTCCCGTTATTATACCTCGAGTATTTTATATGTACATATGCTATTAACGCGAATCTACCAACACTCATCATTATATAAGTTATTTTGGTATTCATACTGTTAACAGCTGCAGTTCATTCATAATTTGTAAGAATTTTAGAATTTATTTTTAGTTTGCTCAAAGTACGGACTATAGGTGAATCCGCACAATGCGGGGTATAGCTACTTATATATAGGTATAATACTTATATATTGTATCAATATGTGCATACGTCAAATAGAAAACAAGGCAATGGTGTTAATAGTTTATTGGTACTTTCTTCCATCCCATATGGATTTTCATAAATCTAAAATTAGTAAGAAAATAATATTAATTTTTATTCAAAATCGATTGAAATTAGATTGAATCAAGTTGAAACTGCAAAATCGATATTTTAATTGCACTTTATATGCTTATTTATTGATGACCGTGAAAGGTCACTACGCTAATTATACAGAAGAAAAAAAATAAATCATATTTATTAGAAAACCGGTAGCAAGGAGAATCTAGGTTTTCTCTCTGATATGTGCTAAATATTCTTGACATAAGCCACATAACTCAAAATGTGCGATCGAAGTGAAGGTTTTCGCAGTCGTCTGAATGGGGGCTCCGGGCATCACTCTTCAATCAGGTTTTCATAATCTGCCAAAGAGGAGACGTTTACACTTAATTGTTTTCGAATCCAGTTATTGATGGAATTTATGATTGCAAAATACATAGGAACGAACATAAATCACGGAAATCATCTGCAATCTTTCTGTAGAAACTTAATAGTCTTGCAACGTGTTTATTCATTTAATAATCCGAAAAACCATAGTTTTCAAGCAATTAGCCTATATTATTATTTACAATCTACGGTTTTCGCATCATTACTTTAATGACATAAAATCAAATCAAAACGGTTATAATTTTAAGATAAAAATTTCACAATTGTCAACTCTATTGAAAGAAAGTGTGTAAAATACAGTTAAATGTGATTAAAAAAAAAACTGAGATTTGTATTTATTATTTATTACTTTCTCTTTTTATCTATTAGTGATTTAAATACCAGAAATCACAAAAAGTTTGAAAAACTTTAATTTCTAATAATCTATTTAATAATCCTATTCAATTTTAAAATTTAATTTTTGTCATGGTACTATGTGTAAAATGATACTTAATGAATTGTCAACTAGTATTTGGGATGTGTCTGAAATTAAATTGACAGCTGTCATACTTCTATTTGTATGCATATTGTTACACATAATTTTGCATAAGAAAATGCAAGAAAGATGTATACATGAATGATTGAAGTTTTCCTGACTCAATTATTCAAGTTTGATGCATTGGGAATTACCAGAGTGACACAGAAGGCATATTCTTATGCACATGAAGAATGTTCCTGAATAATTCACAAAATGAATCTGTTGAATTATTGTGTATTTACATAAACATGGAAATACTTGCGTGGCTTGAACTTCTACTGCACAGTCACTTAAATCATCTACTACACGACTTAAATCATACAAAACACAAGGCAACTAGCAAAAAAAAGCATAATATTATTCCTTGCGCTATGTACAAGTAATACCACTAAAATAAATAGAACAGTTTAAAAAAAGAACTGTAATGCATTAAGAGCATGTTAATTTGCAGAACATGTTTTTGGTATCTGGGTGAGAAACAATTGTTTTCGTTTGTTTTGGAACTGTTAAAAGTTACAGTGACCTCTCGATCGAAATTGGAATCTTCCTGGATTCCATCGCATTCCGCCAACTTAGAAACGTGCCTCTCCGGCAGCTTCGGAATTTGCGCAAACAATGAATATCCGTATAGAAAATATGCCGCATCCACGGACCGTTCTACCGAACAAACCGAAATTCGATGTGAAATTTAAATCGACTCGTGTATATCCGTTATAGAAATTGAATCGAAGCATGCAAATTCTTCAATCGTGCAAAAAAAATCTATTTTCAAAGTTCAATTATTTTACTTATTTCCATAACATAACAATAATAATAATAGTAACGTTTGTTGCAAGAAAATAAATATCAATAAAATGAATGCACAAGAATTATTTAATTTATTAACAAATATTTTATTACTACTTAGTTTTCCGTAGATCACGACGGGGATAGGTCAAATGTCAGTATCTTAACAATATTTTTCATTGAGGTTTGTGAATTAATTTATCTTTGTAGGCCCTTGCCTAATGGACGTCATGATGTCTTCCCTCCCCTAGTGAAAGTAGAAGAAAAGTAGTACCTTTTCTTAATCCATTAACCCGGAAGTGAAAAGATTAGCGGTATTAAATGCACAGATAAAGAAGCTATGTATTAATAACCGATTATTTTTTATTGTTGAATGTATTGTGTTCAATTATAGCATTGAAAATTGTAGTATAAAGCTTGAAGCACATATAAGTTTTTCCGACTTGGATCTTCTTCTTTACTGTTCATGCTTTCACTTATATATGTGTGTTAGATATGCGCCGAAACGTCTTATCCTATCCGGTCCGAACAGATGTTGAACAAATCTCCTTTCTATTGATATCCTACATCCATTTATCCTAGATAGTTTCAAAACGTCAGCAATTTTTTTATGGAATTGTTTGAGGAGAGATTAAATAAGAAAAAAATAATAATTCAAGAGTGAAAGGATAGGAAGGAAAAAGACAAGCACAATAGTAATAGAATCCTGATTAGCTATATATAATATAAGATTTTATAATCTTGGAAAGCGCAGGTAGACTAGGATGCTCTAAATAAATCACTCGGATCCGGTAATCTCCCCAATTGCATACTAATTTTCGAATCGACCATTTGCATACATTTGCATCTCTCGTTTTATTATTTACCGTCTTCTGATGTTCATTTTACTATTATTTTTTTGATATGAAACGGGTATTTCTGCTCACAGACGACTTTGACTTTCCACGTTCAGATGCAAGCTTTTAAAACTTGAACGCTCGTTCCTCAGCCTCCAAGAAATTATTAATAATATTAAGAATAAGAAGAAATAAAATAAAACGCACAGAATTGCAGGGACGTTTTGTCTGCGCTATAATATTGTTGGCCCCGTTACACCACTCCAATTACGTAACAATTCTAAATCTCTCGCGTGTGATATAAATATTTTTGCGGAATTTAAGACACGCCGTCGGACGTTTCTTTCATCCTTCGACGTGCTTTGTTATGTCTTCCTTTTTCTGCTGTCATTGCTCCTCTCGTACTATTATGAAATGGTCTCTTTTTTTTTATATAATTTTAAGCCCGTAACGAGGAAGATTTAATTGCGTTTCACACATTCGCCGCGTCTTAATTATATTCGCATTTAAGTGATAAAACAATTAGAGTGGACGAACAAAAATGAAGGAGTAAAGAGGAAGAAGAAAAAGAAAAAGAAGGTAGTAAACTGTGTCTCGTGACGTGAGAAAATCTAATCCATTTCTGGATGCGGTTTCACTCGAACGGTGTCGGGACGAAAAAGAGGCGACAGAATGACCACCGATGCGGTCGGGTCTTGCATTTCAACCGGAAGCTTCATTCTCTCCTCGTCCAGTTATCCATTTTTTAGTCGCCTGTTACTCGCCAAGAAAGGAAAGGAAACAAACAAAAATAAATGAATAAGGAGCAAGAAGCGTTTGCAATTTAGATTCGCGTAATTGCTTATTGCTCTGCAAACATGCAGATCTGTGTCATATTCAAATGAAGGAGGAGAAAAATTGTAACGAAAAACGGATTGTCGGATTCCGTGCAAGTAGTACGGAAACGTCACGCGCTGAATTCCGGGCCAAAAATAAAAATTACTCTCGTCTTTAATACACTTCTACTGATCCATAAATAAGCTTGATCCATCGATGATCATGAAGAAAAAAAATTGTCCCATGACGAATTAGTTTTCTGCCATTACTTATTATGATTTTTTTCTTTCCATTGCAGGTAAAGTTTATTCGGTGGTGAGCAGGAGACATGGCAAAGTGTTGGATGCTGTGGGAATGGATGAGGTGGAGAAGACGTTTTTGGTGAAAGCCCAAATCCCGGTAGCGGAGAGTCACGACTTTGCCAACGAAATTAGGAAGACGACCTCGGGGCAAGCGAATCCCAACCTCAGATTCAGTCATTACGAGGTAAGACGTGTGCGAATGCAACAATTAAACTGTACTGAGAACCTTAATTGGATGTTTTCAGATCATAGACGGGGATCCGTACTTCAACGTTGATGAGGTTGAATCTGATGAAGAGGATGAGGACAACAGTTACACGGAGGCCAAAAGGGCCAGCAAGCTTCGCATCGAGATCAGGAAGAGGAAGGGATTGAAAGTCGACGACCAGGTTGTTGTACACGCCGAGAAGCAGCGCACCCTCAATAAGAAGAAGTAGTTTTTCATGTCAACCATAACAAACAATATATATTCTTACAAATAGACATTGTTTTATTTAATTCATTCATAATTCGTGCCAAATTTACGACAATTCTTTTTCCAAATTTAGAAAAACTTTCCTTTCATATAAAAACACATTAATCAAGAATACTAATGATCAAAGATGAAGTGAATCATTATCGAAATCTTCTATTTACAGTTTATTTCCTGGAAATGCAAGGGTCTGAAATTCTCTTCTACAGTCGATTTCAATATTTGAATTTACAATCTTATCAAATTCTGTAATGGAATATAGAAAATGTGTTCCCTTATTTTTGTTTTCTCTTTACATAAACATAAATCTACAAATAATTCCATTAGTAGCAGGCGACTCGATGACAACACGAAGATGCCAATAGTTTCGTTGCAAAGGTGAGCTATTCAGCTTTAAATTGTATGGTCGATGATGTAATTATCTCGCCAAATTGAATTGAGAATGAAATTAAAATGCTTAATTTTGATAACTTTTAGTAGATGCACTGACCAAGAAACAATGCCACATTGAAAATATTGTAGTTTTCAATTTAATTTGCGTATTTGATGGTTTAATGAGTGGTAATCGATTAATTTAAAAAATGTGAAGGTATAGCAGCAAAGTGAAAATAATAATTAAATAAATGGTTATATTCATATATATTTGAAACTTTCAATTTACTGTGCTAAAAAATGATTCTTTCTCTTTCGTTTACTATAAAATAAATTAGTTTTCGTCAATTAATAACAAAGTTATTAAGCTTTAATGAGTTGGCGGATTTCGCGAATCAAAAAAATCTATCGGTTTATTCAAGAAACAGTATGCAACCACACATACGTATGACAGTTGCGGACTATTTCATGCAAATTCCGACAGATGGCGCTGCTTGTCATAATTAAAATGCATATAACTCGAAATCTAATTAGTTTTTTATTTATTAGACTAAAGTAATACTATTGCATTTGTGTAAGCACTATTTCGATATATTTGTTTATTTAAATTAGAACGTTTTTAAGGTAGTGGATTTTGTATAGCGCCAAAATGCCTGAACTACAACCTTTGAAATATTGCTAACAGATGGCGAAAGCTGTCACAAGAAATGGAATACACATTTTGCGCCTAAATTGCAGGCAACTGATCATACATACACACTTTAAAGAACAAATAGGAAAATAAAATGCAGTGTTTTTACATTTCATTGATTTTCTCGGCAATAGATGCATATGAAAGCTGAATGTTTGGGGAATCTAGCAAGTATCGATATATTACTGTGGTTTTAGCCGTTTGGCTGTAATTCGTGTTCAAAGTTTAAAAAATGCTCGAAAAAGCAGTGTTTTTACATTTCATTGATTTTTGATTTTCTCGAAAACTATAATACATAGAATGAATCCAAAAGATGCATATGAAAGCTGAATGTTTGGGGAATCTAGCAAGTATCGATATATTACTGTGGTTTTAGCCGTTTGGCTGTAATTCGTGTTCAAAGTTTAAAAATGCTCGAAAAAGCAGTG